CAGGCCCCCAGCCCCTCCTCCCTCAGACCCAGGAGTCCAGGCCCCAGCGCCTCCTCCCTCAGACCCAGGAGTCCAGGCCCAGGCCCTCCTCCCTCAGACCCAGGAGTCCAGGCCCCAGCACCTCCTCCCTCAGACCCAGGAGTCCAGGCCCCAGCGCCTCCTCCCTCAGACCCAGGAGTCTAGACCCCCAGCCCCTCCTCCCTCAGACCCAGGAGTCCAGGCCTTAGCTTCCCCCACCCATCTGAAGTTTTCAGGCACAGAACTGAGGCCTCCCCTACCCGCCTCAAGGCCCCTCTCTTCCCAGTTGCTCCACCACCTGCTTCCCGCCCCCCTAAGTCTGAGGTCATCCCACACTGCATCGTTCTGGAATCTCATTGTCTCATTCTTTCCCCAAACAAGACCCCAGCATCTGACCCCCTGCACACCCCTCTCCAAGCACTTGTGTCTGACCTGTCAATGGGGCATTGATGGGGCAGCTGGGTGGCGTCAAGGCGGGGGTGGGTTCCAGAGATGATTTCATTTTCTACACGGGACCCGGACTCCTGGGCCTGAGGGAGGAAGGTCTGGAGGGCTCCTGATTCCAAAGACAGGAATAACAATAAAAATCGTTTGAAAGCACACAGTAGGGATACAGGCCAGTGAGTGCCTCCCTGCTCCAAGCACAGGGAGATTAAGCCCCACTCCGAAGTCCCCAAGCCTTGGGCCACATTGGGACTTCAGACCCCTGTTTTTTTCTGGGAGGGTTGCACCCACCCTTCAGGGTTTTTTATTTCTTTTTTTTTTTTCCTTTTTGAGACGGAATCTCGCTCTGTCGCCCAGGCTGGAGTGCAGTGGCGCGATCTCGGCTCACTGCAACCTCCAACTGTCTGGTTTGAGCGATTCTCTTGCCTCAGCCTCCCGAGTAGCTGGGATTACAGGCATTCGCCACCATGCCTGGCTCATTTTTGTATTTTTTAGTAGAGACGATTTCACCATGTTGGCCAGGCTGGTCTTGATCTCCTGACCTGGTGATCCACCTGCCTCAGCCTCCCAAAATGCTGGGATTACAGACGTGAGCCACTGCACCCAGCTTATTTTTATTTTTTTGAGACAGGGTCTTGCTCTGTTGCTCAGGCTGGAGTGCAGTGGCCCGATCTCAGTTCACTGCAATCTCCACTTCCCGGGTTCAGGTGATTCTCATGCCTCGGTGTCCTGAGTAGCTGAGACTACAGGTGCGTGCCACCACGCCTGGCTAATTTTTATATTTTTAGTAGAGATAGGGTTTTACTATGTTGGCCAGGCTGGCCTGGAACTCCTGACCTCAGGTGATCCACCCACCTCGGCCTCCCAAAGTGCTGGGATTTTAAGCCACCACGCCCGGCCTACCCTTCAGGTTTGTACTGCCATGACTGATTTGAAGTCACTTAATTTTTTTAAATAAACTTTTTATTTTGGAATCATTTTAGATTTATAAAGTGGTTGCCAAGATCCTGCGGAGAGTTGCCATGCACCCTCCCCCACCCTCCCCCAGTGCCGGCGTCGCAACGCAAACCACGAGACATTTGTCAAAACTACGAGGCTCACAGTTGGGCCAACACCAGACTGTTATTTCAGCAGCACTTCCACGATGGATCGAGCCCAGGATGCCGCGTCGTATGTAGTGAGCTCACTTCTCAGCCTAAAAGCATACCTTCCTGCATAGGAAACAGTTTCCAGTTCCTGACCCTCCGCTGGGTGCTGGGGTCTTGGATTTGGATCTAGTTCGTCCCCGTCCTGCAGGCGTGAACCTCCACAAGTCAGGCTCCGTGTCCTATCTGGGAGGTGCCGTGGGACTGCGGGACGCGGGCTGGCCTTGGTGAGGAAGGAGACCCATCGGCACCAGACCTGGCTCTTAGGAGGCTCTCAGTGTGGGTCTGAGAAAGGTGGATGGAGCTGGGACAATCACAATCCGTGGTGCTCTGTGGGAGCAGAACTGGGAAGGATCTAAATATGGAGAAGACCAGGTCCAGCCTGGGGAGTCAGAAAGAGACCCGGATTGTTCCAATACAAGTTCCCCTGGAGGCTAGAGAGGGCTGGGGGTGGGGCCGGTTTCTGGAGCCATGGGACGGGGGAAGATGCTCTCGGTGGAGGCCACACAGTGTGCCAGTGTCTGCCAGCAGCTGTGCGTGCGTGTGTGCGCATGTGCGTGCATGTGGGCGTGCATGTGTGTGCGTGTGTGCGTGCATGCGTGTGCGTGCATGTGTGCATGCGTATGTGTGTATGTGTGTGCTTGTGTGCATGCGTGTGCAAGTGTGCATGCGTGCGTGTGTGTGCGTGTGTGCGTGCATGCGTGTGCGTGCATGTGTGCATGCGTATGTGTGTATGTGTGTGCTTGTGTGCATGCGTGTGCAAGTGTGCATGCGTGCGTGTGTGTGCGTGTGTGCGTGTGTGCTTGTGTGCGTGCATGTGCATGTGTGTGCATGCATGCGTGGATGTGTGTGTGTGTGCACGCATGCATGTGTGTGCATGTGTGTGTGCATATGTGTGTGTGTTCAGATGTGTAGATTTAGGTCCAGAACAGATGAGTGACTCCCATGACATCACCCAGAGCCCAGAGAAATGAGGGAGGCAGAGGGTGAGGTTTACACGGTGTTGGGTCCTAAAGTTCAGATCTTGGGACATGGACAGTGGGAGCCACCGAAGGTCTTAGAGGAGAGGAGTGATCCCATCAGAACTCCATGATGGCCGGGTGTGGTGGTTCATGCCTGTAATCCCAGCACTTTAGGAGGCTGAGGCGGGCGAATCACAAGGTCAGGAGATGGAGACCATCCTGGCTAACACGGTGAAACCCTGTTTCTACTAAAAATACAAAAGATTAGCCGGGCGTGGTGGCGGGTGCCCGTAGTCCCAGCTACTTGGGAGGCTGAGGCAGGAGAATGGCATGAATCTAGAAGGCCGAGCTTCCAGTGAGCCGAGATCACGCCACTGCACTCCAGCCTGGGCGACAGAGTGAGACTCCGTCTCAAAAAAAAAAAAGGCATTCTGGACGGGGGGAAGAGGAAAGGTCCTTGAGGGAGGAAGGGCTGGGAGCCTGGACCCCTGCGTCTGAGAGAGGAGGGGCAGGAGCTGGACTCTTGGGTCCTCGGTTGGAAGAGGAATGCGCGTCCAAGCCCAGCGTGCCGTAGGGAGAGTGCAATGTGTCCCCTCTCTGTCCTCCCGGGTGCAGCTGTCTCTCCATCCAGGTGGCCCTGGGGGCTGGGGGAAGGGCCTCTGGCCCAGGCTCTGGCCACCTGTCTCTGTCACCTGGTCAGGGAGCTCCCCCATCTGTCCCCGTCCTCCCGCCACTTTTGCCGTCATCGCCGTCATCTGTCCACTCCTCCAGGCTTGAGCCTCCCTCCTCCCCGTCCTCATAGGACACGCTCCCCAAAACCCCAGGGCCCTCTCTGTTCCCCTGCAACCCCCAGTTGTCCCCCAGGAAGTCCAGGACAGCCAGTGGGGGGCTCCTAGTCTCAGGATCCAGGTCCAGAAGCCCCTGGAGCAAGGCCATGGCTGGGGGTGCAAACTGGTCCCAGGGTGGTGGTGGCCGAGGTGGCTGGGGCTTGGTGGTCACCCAGCCAGCGAAGGCCTCAAACTCAGGGTTGGGGGCCAGTGCCACGTCCCAAGGGAAACAGGCAGTGGCAGCACAGAAGAGAAGCACCCCCAGGCCCCAGGAGTCCACGGCTGGCCGCAGAGGCAGAGTGTCGGGCGGTAGCAGGAGGCAGAGCTCAGGTGGTGCCGTGGGCAGAGGCCCTGGTGGGGCAGGGGTCGGGCTGCCCTCTGGCCGGGTCAGACCCAGGTCTCCCAGGGCCACACGGCTGCAGACCGGGTCGAAGACCAGCACGTTGTCCGGCTTGACATCTGCATGGACCAGCCCCCGGCTGTGGAGGAAATCCAGAGCTCCTGCCAGCTGGGCCACCACCCGTTTCACCAGCAGCTCGGGAAGGCCCTGAGGTCAAGAAGACAGGAGGAAGGTCAGAGTGCCTTGGTTTTGTCTATTTTATGTTGTCCAGGCTGTTCTCAAATTCCTGGCCTCAAGCGATCCTCCTGCCTTGGCCTTGCAAAGTGCTGGGATTACAGGCCTGAGGCACCACACCAATTGGTTCCTTCTGAATAATTCTTGAAAGAGGCTGTAGACTCCTAAGTCCTAAAGGTTTGACTCTTGGGGTTTGAGAATCTAGAACCCCAGACTAGTGGCTACCTCCAGTGTTCCCACCACTTGCTCCCAAAGACTCTCTCCATCATCCTCAACCTCAACCTGCAGCCATATCTGCACTCCAATAGACCAACTCCCCGCTGGTCTCCCAGTTTTCCCCACTGGAACCCCAGTTATAACCAGTAGTTCCTTTGAGCTTCTTTCAAAGATTCTCCTAACTCAAATACTCAGGCATTTCTTACATATCTTTTATAATCTGATCATCCAGATCTTCTCCAGTGAGAACTCAAATTTCATTCTTAACCCTAATCTTAGTCTTACACGAGTCTAGACCCCATCTCTAACTCAGAGTCTGTTCTAAAATCCCCTGGTTTATTTCATCAGTTGATTATCTATCCATCTAGCCAGCCAGCTGGCCAGGCAGCAATCCATCCATGAAGCCATCCATCCTTCCAACAGTATTCAACAGTGTGTCCATCCAACATCCGTTCCACCAACCAGTCAGCAATCCAGTAAGTTATTCAATTTTTTAATATACAACATCCATATATTCATCCTCCCTTGCTTCCTTTCACCCATCCATTCACTGTCCATCTATCATCCATCCACCAATCCTTCCATCCACCCACTCATCCATCCACTCATCCATCCATTCATTCACTCACCAAACCTTTCATCCATCCACTCATCCATCCACCTACCCATCCATCCACCAATCCTTCCATCCACCCACCCATCCATCCACTCATCCATCCATCCACTCACCCACCAGACCTTTCATCCATCCATCCATCCACCCACCAATCCTTCCTTCCATCCATCCATCCACCCACCAGTCCTTTCATCCATCCATCCATCCACCCACTCACATCCATCCATCCATCCACTCACCCACCAATCCTTTCATCCACCCATCCATCCACCCACCCATCCATCTACCAAAACTTCCTTCCATCCATCTATTCACCCATCCATCCATCCACTCACCCATCCTTCCACCCTTCTAATTCTCAATGAGACTGATTCATCCACATATACCTTCCTCATCCCTTTCCTTCTTTTGTTCCTTCCATTTATCCCCAACATTATCTCAAATCCAAAATCTATTCCTGAAACTATCCCTACCTCTAATCTCCAAACTCAAGAGGCCCTAGAATCTCATGGGTTCTGTCCTGACCTGGTCTCCTTTCTAGAAGAAACCCCATTACAGCCCATCTCCAACTCAGTCTGTATATACATCCTCAACCATCTCTGTTTCCCTCTGCAACCCTATTCATGCTTTTCTCCATACTTATGATCAATCTATAATCAACTCTAAACTCAACCCACCCAACTCCACCCATGCCCATGAGTCCACTAACCCCAGAGTCAACTAAAATCCCAACCCTGTCTCCATCCCCACCCCCTTCATTGACCCTAGTCCATCCTCAATCCCACCCCCAGCTCCCTGCCCTTCCATGCTTGTGTTTGGATGATTAGATGGATTAGGGTTGAGGTCAGGCATAGAAACTCGTTGAGAATTAGAAAGGGGGACGTCATGTGGAGGCTCAGGGTGGAGATGGGTTGGGCGGGTCCTGATTTGGGGGTCAGAGTTGGAGATAGAGAGGAGGCTTGGGACAGAGTTGGACCTGGGAAAAGCGCTCCCAACCTTTGTCCCTCGTGGCCTCACCCTTTCCTGCAGCATCCCGCTGAGGTCCCCACAGGGCGCGTACTCCTGGGCGAAGGCAAAATAGCGGGGGGTCTGTAGGGGTCCTGCCAGGGTCTGCAGCAGGCCTGGGTGTGCAGAGACACAGCGGCCCACACAGAACTCCCTCAGGAAGGTGCTTCTCGGGACCAAATCCCGACGCAGGAGCTTCAGAGCCACAGCCGGACCTACCGGGGAGATGGGTTGGGGGGACACTCAGGCGGCTTCGGTCCTGCTGTGCACAGGCCCTGAGGGAAGCCGTGTAACCTCTCTGAGCCTCACACTTCTCATGGGCAGCACGGGCTCCTCCCTCTGTGAGGTGTGGGTGAGAGGAGACCTTCTTTGAAGACCCTCCCTGCTCTGCCTCGGACTGCGGCATGGGCTTCCACAGCCGCCTCACCCTCTCTGGGCCTCAGTTTCCCCTGGCATCAAGTAAGAGGCATGATGGTGACTTGGGTTCCAACCTGAGTTGCATACCTGTCTTGCTGTGGGACCATAGGCAGCCCCTTGCCCTTTCTGGGGTGGGGCCTGTGTTTCTCAGAAGATCCCAGAGCTCTTAACTTTCAGAGTGTCCCCACCGAGAAGGGTCCCCATCAGCTCCTCCTGGGAATTCTCCCTGGTTGGGTGGCTTCCCAGAACGCTTATTATGTGGCGGTTGGGGAGGCTGCCCTTGGGTGGCCGAACTCACCCCCCTGGTGAGGCTGGGCGAGGAGCACGCGGCCGTAGGAGCCGGAGCCCAGCTTCCGGATGAGGTGGTACTGGTCCCGAAGGCTCCTCACGGGGGTCACCCTGCTGGCCGTCAGCTCCACCAGCCGTTGGAGGGCTGTGGCTGTGTCCTCCTATGGGAGAGGGGCAGGGTGAGGAGGGGGCGAGTCTGGGGTCCGCTGAGAATGGCGAGGGAGGAGGTCACGGCGCAGTCCGGGGATGGAGGGTGGGGGCAGGGGACAGGGGTCACTGTCCCCAGAGAGGAGGATGAGTCACAGTGACTCACCCGGACTCGGGCCACCTGTTTTTGTGTTCTGGCGAGGTTAGGGGTCCTTGTCACAGAGGCCCCGCCTGCCCCCATCTGTGGGAGTGGACCAGGAGCCCCCAGCCCTAAGCGGGGGTGCATCCTCAGTCCACACGGGCCCCCCGCCCACCCCAGTCTCTCTCTCCACCGTCCTCTTCCCCTGTGTATCCCGCTCTGTGTTTCTGAGTCCATTTCTCTGGGGGCCTCTGTCTCACTGTGTGTCCTTGGATCTCAGTCATCCTCTCTCCCTGGGTCTGGGTCTCTGAGATCTTTGCATTTCCCTGTTTTCTGTTTCTCTTCCTCTGTCTCCCCGTGTTGCCTCTTGCCTCTCCTTCTTTTCTCTGTCTTCCTCCCCTGTCTCCCGTCTCTCACCTCTGGGTCCCCATCCTCAGGGGTCTCGGAGGCCCTGCGCTCCATCTCAGGGCTTCCTGACGTGGGGTGGCCCTTGGGCAGGACTCCCCCTGTCAGGGCTCCCCAGAGAGCGACCAGCCCCCTGCACCCCACAGGTTCTCGCTGCGCAGAGCCAAGGGCTGGAAGCTTGTCTGCAAGGTCAGCCTCAGTCACCCTTTGTCTGTCCGAGTCTGTCTATCTGGAGGAGTGTCTTTGCCTCTCTGTGCCCTCCTGCCACCCTCTGGGTGTATTCCTCGCTGTGCTTCCCAGGGGACCGCCCTGACTCCCCCACCCTCTCTTCCCCTCTCTTTAGCCAACCCCAGTCTCTCCTTCCTCCTACATGAACACTTTTCTCTCGGTCTCTCTCTTGCTCCCTCTGTCTCTCCTCTCTCTGTGTGTGTCTTTGTCTCCTTCTCTCCCCGTCTCTCTCCACCCTCCCTGTCTCTGTCTTGCCCTTGGGTCTCTGGGGTGGGACTCCCCCTCCCTGTCCCGTCTCTGTGGGTCGCCGGCCCCTCTCCTCTGTCCGCACACTGTCCCCACTCTTTCTCCACCAACTCTGGGGGTGTCCCCACGCTCTGCTCCCTGCCTGCTCCCCTCTCTCTGTCTGTCTGTTTCCCGTCTCTCCCAGCCCCTCTGGGCATCTCCGTCCGCTCTTGCCAGTGTCTCTGCGTCTCTCTCCTCCTCTTTGTTCCTGACTCTCTCTCATAGCCTTTGTCCCTCCCTTTCTCTGGGCCCGGGACAGGGGTGTGTGTGACAGCTCAGAGACAGAGACATCCTGTCCCCCCACACCCCTCCCTCACCCCCTCTGACGGCTGCCCCCTCCCTCTCCCTTCCAAACTTAGACCGGCTTGGAGTCTGGGCTCCAGTCCCAGGACAGAGGGGACAAAACATATTGTGAACCCCCAACAAGGCCCAGGCCTGAGGGCAGAGGAAAGGGTGGGACAGACCCCTCCACACACCTGAACTGGGATGACAGGCCCAGAGCTGAGCGTCTCTGTCTTGCCCCAGAGGCCAGGAGCTCTGGTGTCCAGGGACCAGGGAACAATTCCCAAAGCCCTCCTCCTTCACACCAGGAGTCCTGGCCCCAGCTCCTCCTCCCTCAGATCCAACAGTCCAGGCTCCTAG